AAAGCCACGGTTTACATTTAATTTTAACGGTTTAATTTAATAAGAGGGAAGCGGGATTGGATTGCTGGTTCTCAGGGGGCTGAATCCTTCAGGAGCAGTGGCTGCTCAGCACAAGCACGTGCAGGGATGTGTACGGGGAGCGGAAAGGAGAGGCAGGCTCTGGTGGCAAGGCTCGTCCTTGAGCAGTCGTTATCAAAACGGCAAGCGGCTCCGAGCCCTGCGTGCGACAGAGCTCAGCCCCTTAACTTTGGACTGTTGGGGTGTGTTAAAAGCATCCGCTTCCGTCTCTGCAGCCTTGGCCAGGGTCCAGGCTGGCAACGGGTCAAAAGCGCTACGAGTTTCTTGTGGTAAAGTCCCCTCCAAGGCCAGGGAGGGGACAAACAGTGACAGGACCGGATCGTGGCATGCAAGTTCCCTCAGGGACAAGCGAGTGCCTGCACTCCATGCACTCTGCATGGCCGTGCGAGCAGCGTGCTGAGCACCTCAGTGGTGCGGTGCGTGGAGGGTCATACTGGAATTAATTGGGGGGTGGTCGTTATTCCCAACTGGAGGGTCCCAGCACGTGCCCCTGCTCACTACTGGGATGCGAAACCTGCTCAGCGGACCGAGCCAGGGTCTCTCCTCACCATCTTGGTGGCGGCAGGTACGTGACCGTCCTCTCTGTCCCCCCGACAGGTTCTGTGGCGTTCCTGGGGCTGTACCTCGTGTTTGGCTATGGCGCCTCGCTGCTCTGCAACCTCATCGGCTTCGCCTACCCCGCGTACGTCTCGTAAGTACCGATGTCCCGGCCCAACCTCCCGGCAGCATCTGGAGAGTGTTCCCCGCCCTTAGCTGAGGGTCCCATGATAAACGAACAGGCAGTTATGGTCAGGAAGCTCTTGAGACCTTCCCGAAAACCCTGGGACCTGGCACGGTCCCAGCCTGGGGCAGCAGCACCCGGCAGGCAAGTTTGCTCCGGGGTTTGGAGGACTTGGGAAGGAGGTGCCCACCCCAGCAGCAATGCCCTTCCCCCCTCCTGCCACAGCATCAAAGCTATCGAGAGCTCCAGCAAGGAGGACGACACCACGTGGCTGACGTACTGGGTGGTCTACGGCGTCTTCAGTGTAGCCGAGTTCTTCTCTGACACTTTCCTCTACTGGTTCCCGTTCTACTACGCTGGGAAGGTAACGGCTTCGCTGGGGGCTGCCGGTGCCAGAGTCCCCTCGCCCAATGGCTGAACTTGGAGGAACCCAGCGTGGTGGGCTCTGCCCCATTAGTGGGGGGGTGGGGGACGGTGGGATCGCAGTCCATCGTGGAGCTTCCTGCAGGCAGCTGAGGTCCTGGTACCTCCAGTGAGCTCCAGCCTTGGGAAGCTGCCTTTGGGCCAGGCTGGGGGGGGCTGGGGCAGCTCAGGTGCTGCCCTGTCACTGCCCTCCTTCTGGGGGCTGCCTCGCTCAGCCCCTGCCTGCCCTGCCATCTCCCAGCTCTGGAGCATCTCTCCTCCCCGCAGTGCCTGTTCCTGGTGTGGTGCATGGCCCCCGTGTCCTGGAACGGGTCGCAGGTGCTCTACCAGAACGTCATCCGGCCCTGCTTCCTCAGGCACCACCAGGCTGTGGACAACGCGCTGGGCAACCTCAGCACCAAAGCCCTGGACGTGGCCTCCAGCGTCACCCGAGAAGGTAACGTGGGTTCCTCAGTCCCCGCTGTCCTGCTCCGTGTCCAGGGCAGGCGGTTTTCCCCGGAGCCTGGCTCCGCTGGGACACGGGCAGCTCTTGTGTTAAGTACCGGCAAGCGGCCGTCTCCCCATGGCCGTGGGCTGTGCTGTCTCAGCCACAGCCCCGTCCCTCCATGGTGGCAGGAGCCGGGTGGGGGCTTCACTCTCTCCCCCTCGCTGTAATTCTCTCTCTTCTCTTTGCGCCTCGCGGTCCAGTCCTGCAGACTCTGGTCAGCAGCCGAGCCCGGCTGACAGCCGAGGTGGCACCGCAGCTCAGCGTGTCTGTACGTAACAGCCACGGTTCCCGCTGCCGCTGCGGGGAGAAGGGGCCGTTCCGCCTGAATCGCCCCGCCGTGGCCGCTTGGCTGGATCCTGTGGCCACCTTGGCGCTGGCCAAACTGAGCTCCTGCTCTTGCAGACGGCGGCGTGCCTCACGCGCAACCTTCCCGCTCTCCCTTGGCGTGGGTAGAGCAGGCGCTTTCCCTCCTGCTTTTCCATAGCCAGACTCCCCCCAAATCCGTGCGTCCTCCCTCGGCGCCGCCGCCGCTGCCATCTGTGCGTTCCTCAGCTGGGGCTCCCAATCCAAACCCCCTCCCCGGGGTGCAAGGCAGCTGCCCGCTGGCCCCGGGGAGGGCAGGAGCTGGCTGCCAACCCTTGCGCTGTAGTGGGAGAAGGGAAGGGATCCGGATGGTGACGCTTGGCCGGGATGGGCTCGTCCCCAGGCTACTGGTGGGGTGGCCGCTGCTCCAGGGATGGGCCCTAACGCCATTCCCGTGTCTCCTGGCAGGTTCCAGAGCAGCCCTGAACCTGGTGAAGGAAGCGGAGAAGAAAAAGTGAGAGGGGATCCTGGTACTGGCACTGCAACCCGGGGCCTGAGTCTTGCTCAGCCTAAGCCTAGGCCTAGGCCTGGGGCTGG